AAAGAAGACAAGACTAACAGCACATACAAGACAAATTGCAGCAATGGTGAAAGCCACTACATTGGTCAAAGTGGACTCCTTCTTTGAATTCGCATCCATGAACATAGACTGGCTGTCAGAAGACATGATATCGATTCTCTCATATCAATACATGCAGGAAACTACGGACACCAATTCAACTGGGAAAATGTATAAATCCTAGACAAAGGAAAATATATCGGCAAACACACCAAAGGCCTTTCTCAATGACAGTCCAAGGTCGAAATAGTCCTCAAGGAATAACCAAGGATTCATTCAAACAAGACAACAATCGTAAAACAGCACGTTATCCTCAAAAATCCAACATCACCCAACAGTAAAGTGAAACACGGAAGAAATAGGAATAAACCACTAGCAAAATCCAATGATAAAGATTAAATCAAAACAAGATTGGTACACATTGGAACGATGATACCAAGGTCAAGAGAAACAGGGGCAACAATTATCCAATCAGGTGAAATATTTAAATAATCATGAATATTGTAAATAGAATTTCCAGTAGGGATTTTCCGATCAGTTATTCCGCTACAATATGTACGCCATTTTGACAGACTTTAATTAAAATAGAACGTTAATCTTCACGGTATTCTAAACTTTTTAGTCCTTCGTCCTCTAGATAAAGACATGGAGATATGCATCATAATTCGAATTTGTGACTTTTACGTTAGGACGCACATAAAAGAGAAAAACCTAACTGTGCATCTGCTTTCTCCTAGATTCATGATTGCAATCATCATACCAGTTATACAAATGAGCATTGGAAACTGGAAACACATAGTTATTCAAGAAGAATGAATCAGTTTCCCTCCCTCATACCAATAAATGTTGTTTCGAGTGCTTACTAAGTCATCTAGTTAGCCTAGAACAGTAAGTCAGTATTCTGACTCTAAGTGTAACTCCTATTGCTCATGACTGTGCAGCTTATTTTTCTACTCAGAAATGCAAAATATTAGCACAATTCAAGTCGACTACATTGATTTCCATTCTGAAATTCTGCTGAAATTTGCTCCACAGGATGCTTTATGGTTTACTGAACTTGACGGTTCTGTAGTTATTTAGTTCCCAATAAACATATCAGTTGACAGTCAGGCACCATTACCACATTTGTGAAGCTGTGAGCCAGCATACCATGGACAAAGGGGTGATGGGTGAAGGAAATCATATTTCATCATTAATATAAGTAAAGATAACGTGAAGAACGACAGACAGCTTCCACACACGTTATCTTAAAATTATTGACTGCTTTATTCATGGTTACCGTTTAACTCCTACAACTATCATATTTTATGTAAACAAATCACTTTACTTATAAGTAGTAAGGGATTTATAGCAAAATTATTGGTATGGAATACTAATGGAATTACTTTCATTCCAAACTTGAATTTCATGCCTTCTCTCCAAAAAGTTCTCAACAACAGTATGAAAGATAGAAAGATGTTACCTACTTTTATCGATCAATCAATGGGAAACTCAAATTAACTTAAACAATAATTAATTGATATCCACTGCACAAGAGGTGACTCTTGTAGATGACGCTTTGGAGTTTGAAACAACGGATACAGGGTTTGAGTCTCTGTGGAAACATAGGAGATGCTGTCATATTCAGCTGACGCGACACAAACTGGATGAAACCTCGATTCCTGTGCTAGTCACCATCAACCGAAATCCTTCCACACATGTCTCACCAAGTTCTAATATTATAGTCTGGAACGGTCTGGGTACTGAATAAAGGATATTTGTAACTTCAAGTAGTATTCTTCCTTTTTATCTTTCAGTTTTTATTTTATTCCTTTCGGTTGCCGATGGAATATGGGGCTTCAGGCTTCGAAATGTGATTAGATATGGTGTTATTCTTGTTTTGTACGGAGTAGGCTTGCTAACACCCCTTCCAGCCTTCCCTCTTTACCGGGCTTACTACCGGATAAGCGAGATCGAGGAGTGGATAGAAAAAGGGTTAAGGCCCGGACCACATGGGTCGTTGGCGAGTATTGTACCGATGAACCACCGGTGCACATTTTTCATAATAGACTAGAAAAAGTAAAATAAGAATATTTTGCTCACGTTTCGCTGCTCATTTCTAATAACTTTATCAATAACTTTAGAAAAACTTACAATATAGTACCAAAGTTTATTCACCTTAATTCGATCAGTGTCCGTTGGTAAAGATAGCGAATATGTATAAAAACATGTGCGTTATACGTGACAAATGTGTGAGTTGTCAGATTAATATGAGTGCTACCAAGTTTAATTCTTATCGCACAAGTTTTGATAAAAAGTTTATTTTCAAGTATCCATTTTTGTAAGGATTTTGTTTGATTGGTCGGAGGATTTCATCATAAGCTGACATCGGTTAGAGAACCATTGGAAAACCTGCAAGGAGTACGGAACAGCTGTTTCGTCAGCCTAGTTTGAGACTCTTCATCAGTACGCACCCACCAACAGGGTTCGAACCCAGGACCTTCTGGTTACAAGGCGAGCTAGCTCACAGACCATTAAGCCACTGGGACCCAATCCAATGGCCAGCCCATGAATTCTAACTTCTGACAATTCATGACATAGCGCGACCACCAGCCAATGTCTTCTTCGATGAGTCACTGCCTCACCTTCAACCTGCTGCACCCTACTGGTCACGGCTTACCACCAGAACCCCAAGTCACTGCCTGAATAGGGCTATTCGCTAATGAGCATCAAATCAATTTTCAAGTATTGGTTTTTGTAGGGATTTTGTTTGATCGGTTGGAGGACTTCATGTTATGTTGATGGATTCAAAGCATGCAAAGTTGGCACTTATTCCCCCAATCAAATTTGGGAGACTTTCAATCCATCTCACCGGGAGAGATCCTATTAATTGGGTCAGATTCCCAATTGGCAAATAACTTTGCGATTTTCAATTTACACAGACGCTTTAGGTGAAATTCCTCCACAGTTCCTTTGGAAACAGAGATTATTCAGAGCATACACAATATGTGAATTGCTTCATATCATAAGTCACAATCAGAAAACAAGAGTAATTGCATGATGTCATTTGCTGCTGATTGCACAATATGAGTATTTGGATACCACTCATATCAGCAAGTAGTGCCTGCTTTCTTGATTGTGATTTCTAATATCAAACAGATCACATATTGTGCCTCATCTGAATGATCTCGGTTTCCAAAAGAAACTGTGGTGGAATTTCAACTCCAGGATCTGTGTAGATTGCAAATCGCAAATAAATTTGCAAATTACGAAATTAATTCAACGTATTACTAGTTCGCCCAAATAGCTATCCGGAAATCCAGCGGTTTGAACTGATTCAGCTGTCTGAACTGAATGAGATGGACCATCCGCTGTTTGGACCATTCATATCTGACCAGCGAGGACTACTGGTTGATTTGAGTAGTATCTAACTACTCATTCCTAGCTAGCAGGAGTATGTAGCATTCCTATTAATTTTTAAACAATTTCCATGCCAAAATGAAATCATGGCGTGCAAACCTATTACTGAAGAAATTTCTTTTTTTAAATCCCTGGAGGGCTGAGATATTCATTTGCTCTAAACTCAATTTCACGAGTAGTTTGCTTTATGAAAACTGCCTTAAGCATAAAAAATGTGTCCCGTCTGATTCATATCTCACAGATCTTAACTGGGAACACCGGAATAGTTTGATGGTGAGGTATGTCTGCAGGACTGAATGGTATAAGTTCGAATTTCTGAGGAGCTGCAAATATGTCAAACCCCATAACTGACCTAGCATGATCGTAGGTGTGTAGACCCCAGTCTTCCTCGCGAAATGATCTCATATGGACAAGAGTTCATTAGCTCTCTCAAGTAACTCCTATTCACTGTCTTCGAGCGGTAACGTTTGCTCTCATAAAAGTGAAAAGACGAATACGGATGTTTGATGGGAGTATAAGTCCACCAAGGGGAGCTGGAAAACCCTAATTCCTAACCAATGGTGCATATGGGCTCCAGAATCCGAAAAGATCGAAAGTCGTACCAATATGATTCGATCACCATCAACGTAGCTCCTGACGCTGATCCAAAGACTTGTGGACCAGAACTCAAGCGAAAGGCTCGAGGAAGGATTTAAGATAACCACTTGCTTCGACCTCAGCGTTCGATCACTATATTATTCAGAATTCTTGTTAACATATACACACAACATATTTAGATGGAACAAAATAGAACAGCATTTAATCAAAATACCCATCACGACAGATTTCAGGATTAACGTGAGGAAAGTAAAAATGCAGATCTAAATTTCATAAATGGAATTTACAAAGCCGTTATCAACTGAACAACTTAGAATGCATTCTAGTCAATGTGCATGATGGAAACACCCCCCCCCCGAATACACATATGCTGTACGTTTACAAAAACGTCAACAGACCAAACGTTTTTACTCAAAATGCTAAGCCGAACCTTAAGTTTCACCGAGATCGCTATATCACACGTAAGCAAAACTTTTAAGGTACCTGGGATTGCATAGCCATAGTACACACACTTGGTTCGTTCTTGTGAAGCCAAAGTATACTTTAGTCTCCATTTGAATAGCTAGCCGGTATAGCTTATGAATTAGATCTTTTAAAAAAAACTTCATCCGATAGATCTCTAATTATACCATGACTAAGGTCAGGACACAGCCCCTGTACCATGAAGGCTGATTTCAGCATTCAGGTGATACATACAGATTCAGTGCTAATATGCTATGTGGTGACAAAAAGGTGTTGGAATAAACAAGCTGGGAAATGTTATCCTGAGACTAAAACAAATAAATACAACTTTTAAACGTCCTCAGATTCCTGAATATGGTTTCCCACCCTCGTTTAATGCATAACAAGTACACCGTATATTATGCAACAATCAATGAATGATCAAGAAGCTTGGAGCCACAAAACCATGGAAACTTTCTTCAGTTAGTATGTGTAGGAAATGAAAATCAGTCGGAGCCACATATTACCCAGATAGAGAGAGAAAGCACCACGTAAGAAAATGTATTATAAATTACACAAGAATTCATACATTAATAAAGTTAATGGGTTAGATTCGGATTCCTGAGAACTAATCGTGAATTAAACTGTTTTACCAGGATCTGCTTTCAGGGCCACTGTTCGATTAAATACCATCTGAAAGGTAAAAGCAAAGAAGAAGAAATACGACTGAATACAGATGTCAAAATGACTAGAACTTTTTCAATAGATTTTTAGGAGTAAATTATTTTTCAATTGACAAAACAACATTCTTTTTGGTGGTTGTTTTAAAAACAATAAAACTGGTAGCGCATTCCAAATAGTATTGAGTTTACTTTTCAGAAAAAATATCAACAACGTAAGATCTGATCACATGTGCATTATAATTATTATTATTCATACACAAACGGTGCAATTTGGCCACCAAGAGATGCACCAAACAAAAATAAAACAATATTAAGAGACAGGATTTCATCATGAGCTGACATCAGTTAGAGAACTATCGGAAAACCTGGGAGTACTGGGCAGTTGTTTCGTCCTAGTTTGGGACTCTTCATCAGTAGTAGCGCTATATCGTGAATTGGCATAAGTTGGAATTGACGGACCATTGGATCGGGTCCCAGTGGCTTAATGGTCCGCCATATGTGTCTGAGACCACTGAGATTTATGGAGTTCCGTCGTCAAACGCCCCAGCCACTGGTTACAGATCGTCATAGTGTAAGTCAATGTGTACATTTGGAGATAGATGTTTAGAACCTCCTAACTACAGAGACATAGGACAGCTAAACTGTTGGTGATCTGCGGGAACCACTTTCACACCACCCATACCCAAAACTGTCATCATATCTTTGTGGACAACCAGCATAGTTACCCGGGTCACTGAGATGTTCAATTCTGACCAGCAAGTTCAAGGTATCACATATAAGGGGAGATTATTAGTTGTGAAGATCTAGGAGAATGTGCAACAGACCCTGAGAGAAAACAATACATAGCTTAAGATTTGTCGAAGAAGAAAAACGTTACGTCAAGCAATGAGAAGACAGTGAGGTGAACTGAATAAACATTATTTGCTCTACAAAAAATTAGTGGAGGATGTCACTGATTGACGCGTTTCATCATAGAATATTACACAGAAGTGCAGCAGTTCCAGCTGACACAATTCATTTAGCACGCAAAGGAAGATAAAAGAGAGAAAAACAGCAGAAATGTGAGAGAAAGAATAGTAACATGGGAAAACAACAGGGTTTAATAGATATGGGAAACCACAAAGAATGAGTGCACCTGCACCAGCCATTGAGAACGATTTTGAGCCATATCACCGATTGTCTCCAGGCTTCATTGGTTCTTACCATCGTGAGGACCTAAACCAGTAAGTCTACACCTCCCTACATGACTTAAACTGACTGTTATCGATTTCATTGACTGACGAAGGCATGCTTTTTGGTTTGACCACCACTAGCTCTCTCTTTTCCAACCTGATCCTATATCGGTTAACACTGCCCATCGAGGAAGACATTGGCTAGGCTAGGTATGCGTAACACATGTCCTAGCCATCTCTCTCAATCAGTGTAACTTCACAACCCCGTCAACTGATTTTCCCTTCTTACCTAGCACTCGACGCCTAACCACATCCTATTATATCATCTAACACGGTAAATAGAACACAAGAACTTACAGCTAGTCCTTTCATATCTTCTAGTTTCAATGGTCATGTCTCACAGACGTAAAGGAAAACGAAGCGAACTGCTGAGCCGCATCCACGTCCTTTGGAGTAAGTTGGCAAATACCACACGAGTCTTTTGTATCCTTTCTGAGATTTAAGAAGGATATCATGAATACTGTGAATCTAAAGAGTGCTTACCGGTTCTTCACTTAACAGAAAACTGTTGTATCTAACTAGATCAGACTTCAAGTCAAAGGCTCAAGGAATGATCCATTAAAACAACTACCTGCTTCAGTCTGATCGTCCAGGAAGTACCCCAGTCATAGCACAAATTGTAAAATTTTATGTGGAGCATCTTTTGGTGCCCATAAATGTGATGTGTTATAATAATACTATAATAATACTAATAGTCAATAAATGAAATTTGATAATCCCAGCCAAATTCCTAAGCTACAATAAATATAACAGAATGTAAAGCTATGACTTTGTGCATCGACAGTTAGACCTTACAAAATGAAAAGTTGTATAATTGGGAAGTATATATGTAAACTATAGAAAGCAGTTTTAGGTCAGCTTTCATGAAATATATTATTTATTACCTAGTATAATACTTACGCGTTCAGAGTTTGTATCAGGATCCACAGAAAAGAAACCAATACGTTCAAATTGATATGCACTGAAAACCTTCGCATCTTTAACTGACTGTTCGACTAAAGCATCTGGAATTATGACTAATGAATTCTGAAAAGTAGTCAAGAATGAAAAATAATCACCAAATTTAGTGCAAACAATAAAACAAAATCAGATTGATTAACATAAAGTATAAAGTTAAGTTTGAGCAATGTGCATATCATAATCTGTACGATAATCTCTCTCTCAAAATAAAAAGCCAAAATTATTTTTTTTCTTTTTGAATCAAATTCAAAAACTGGTCAGCAGTTTGCAGTTTTCACCACGGTTCCCTTTGGGGGGACTAAATTATTCAGATCATGGTATGTGATCTGCTTGATATTATAAATGATAAATCAAGAAAGCAAGCATATTTTTACAAAACTACATACTACTGATTGACTGAGATAAATAGTTGTAAACCGCACATATCAACAGGTAGTGCTTGTTAACCAGCCAAACCGAAGGGATTTAAACACCAGACGGACGCTTCGCTAGTTAGGGATCGAACTCATCAGAGATGTGCCCGGTTTTGACTCAGCTCAAAGAGTCGCATTGTCATAGAATGTATGAGTAAACTGACTCTGTCCTTTGAGATAAGTAGGTCTGAGTGCACCATTGATGAACTCTACTCGTTCAGTGCTTAGATCACTTCGATCTGGCTAGCAAACACTGCCGGTAGATATGAGTGGTATGCAACTACTCATTTCGGTCGATCAGTAGTATATACGTTTATGTGGGGTTTTTTTTCTTTTTAACTTCAAACCATTAGTTCTATGCCATACAGAAGCATCTGAACCGGCTTACATCCTAAATCGAACCTAAGGACCAAATTCACTGACTACCCTTAAGAGCTATATTACAAATAACTGAAATTTGAAAACACTAAATAAGGTTTGAATTAAGTATTTGTTTGTTAACGATGAATAATAAGCGGTACAACTTTAATCGAAATAAAATCCCTGCAAACTAACATTTGAAAATTGGTGTAATGCTGACTGGTGACTGACTACAAGACGAAGTTGCCTAGAGTTCTAGTGAGTTGTGACCAGAAGAGTCCACTAGATAAGGTATGAGGACAAACCGGCTGGCGATCTCATTGAACAGAAGTTAAAATTTATAGGCCATTGGGTCGGGGTCTCAGAGGCTGAGTGTTCTGCGCGGCTCACCTCGTAATCTGAATGTCCTGGGTTCGAACCCCAGTGAGTGGGTGCGTACTGCCGATGAGTGCTAAACCAGGACGAAACCGCTGGTTTTCCAATGGCTCTTTAAGTGATATCAGCTCGTGATCAAGCCTGAATCACATACAACAGAAGCTGATCATAACCCTTAAAAAAATTTGATCGAGACATACATTGTTACCTTAATTTTTATCGCGCCTAGCTGAGTAAATGCGCAGTTTTAACAACAGAAATGCCTAGACCATTCCATTTAATTAATAAATATATGCATATAAAACGTGAAGTAAACCTCTCACTATACTTCAAGAGAGATAACTAACAAAAACAAGACAAATTCAATAAATAGCAACAAGGATATAAGTATATAAACATACTGGATTTATCACAGACATGAATCCACCCTTTTCGCTTTCTGGTTCTTTGGATGTAAATCTAAAAATATTAAGGAAAAATTAACAGCGTATTACTGACAGATTTTTCTAAAAATAATTTATGTTTGAGATGCATCCTGTAAGGTTTTTTTTAATGAAACTTACAGACGATCATATAATCGAGCCTCAAACTTAAGAGGATTGGACACCCAATGAATGAAAGCCTTTGGTTTTGTAGTATCTTCAACCTTCCGACCCTTTACAAATAAATGGACAATTTTTCCACTGGAATCCTAAATGCAGAATAAAAAGAATAATGAATAAATTAGGCGTCTTCAAAAGCTGTAACGTTAACTAGGTTGTAAATTACTGCTTTAATTAGCCACACCATTTACACGTACATTTCAATTACATAATGCAAAACACTGCCTTATCGTTTATTGATTTAGCCGTATTCAACATAATGCAACAACATCCATCAAATATATTTATATTCATAGTGAATATTTACTCCTATGGTTGACTAAGGGAATGACCAGAACATAAATACTTCTACATAAAAGTCATTCACACATAAATGGACATTGGAACACGAAAAACCTTCAGTACACGTGAAGATCACTTTGAGCACCTTATGATCATGTATCAACTGAGTTAAGAATATTATTTCAGTGGAATCTAGGATGGGCATTTCATCTTATTCATAACTCGTTAGCCACCAGCAGTGAATGGTGGCATTCCTGCTGAGACTGGGAATAAGCATCCTGGATTCCACTGAAAATCACCATCTATCGAATAAAAACACTTTATCAATCCCCAGACATTCTCGAAGTGCCCGTAATAGGAGCTAACATGCCAATACAGACTAAACATTTTGGTCCCATGTAGTCAATTAACGCAAAATATACAATTAACTCAAATGAGTGAGTCAAGATTACTTGTGCTGAAGAACAAAACAGCTGTTGTGCAGCAGGGTAACTGAGATTAGAAAATAGCCAGGATAACTGATGTGATGTTATGATGAGCTAAATATGACTACACAACATACAGTACTGTGCTACAACCAAATGAAAGTATTCTCGTGGTCAGTGTAAATACAATAAAACTATTTTTCAACGCTTAAACCCTCAACATCACTATCATACTCTTGTCAATTATAAATGTAGTTGCGTTTAGAGCAGTGGCTCGTCAGTGCAGGCACTTAACTCACACGCATCGAAGTTTGGTCAGCTCCAGGTAGTACAACCACGCCTCACAAAAAAGTTTTGGCTC